TAAAAGATACAAGTATATGACAACCCAAAAAAGCCAATGACTCCTTAGTTCTTTAGGTCAATATAGTGCTTCAGTTTTTAACTCTTGGTTCTTACGAGCAACGGAACTTATTACAATACTCAGCGGCGGATTCAGAATGTAGTCGAACACTGGGTCGCATTTGAATAGAATATTAGATATCGTAAATAAAAAGGTCTTTCAATTTAGCAAATCCATCAATAATAGAATCTCCATCCATACCAATAGCATATTCTCTCTCTCAAAGAAAATAGCTAAGCAATCAATGAGAAATTCATCGTTCATTTTGTTGCACAAATCAGTTTTCACATGTTCCATTGCTAAAATGCTCTCTCCATGGTAGCCGTTGAAACGAGCAAGGTCAACACTAGACGAATCAACCGACAAATCAATTTGTATTGTGTGTCCATCCCAATTTTCTCCAACTTCTCTAGTAATTTTGTAAGAAAAGAAACTTCATCTTCCTCACATGAGTTACATAATATCGTAGCTCATTCTCCAAAGAATGCATCTCATAGCCTTCAAAGTCTCGAGGCTATCAAAAGACCGGAAAGAACAGTTAGGATCTAGTGCACCACTCAACTGAGGCAATCTAAATGATGACTCAACAAGTTTGTAAATATTTTATTAATCAAAAGACAAGAAAGAAAACCAGCGCTCAAAGAACTAGCGGAGGAATCCATTTTAGCTCCGTTCGTCTCCTCGTTCTTGTTTTGTTTTGGTGGGATTGGGATTTTTTTTTTTAGTTTTGCAAAGAAGGGGAGCTTTTGTTTAGAGTTTTTTTTAATATTAATGAAACTTTATACTTTTAGATTTTAATGTCTTTTTTTTCAAATAAAAATAATTGACGCTAGAATTTTTAGTCTAAATTTAGATTAGTAGTTTTGATATGTTCATCTAGACTATTTTCCTAGTTACCCAAATAAATTATTATCAAATAAAACTAGATTGAATTTTAAATAGCACTGGGACGAATAGCTAAATCATAAAATTTAGGATTTTGCTACGGTGACATGCATGTCACCGTGACATGGACTTTTCGGTCGACCCAATCCTAAAGGCGGTCGACCGAATTGACTAATTTGGACAGCACGAGAAAGCATTGCAATCGACCTAATCCTAAAGGCGGTCGACCTCAATTCATAGCATAATTGATGAGTCCTTGTTATTATTATTTATGACTAGTTATGATGGTTTAAAGCGTAATTTAGACGAGCAAAAGAACCACACAAATCGACATACATAAGCAAAAAAAAAACACGGGGCATAGGTTGACTTTCTTGTATTCGGTCGACCTCGTACCGGATTAGGTCGACCTCGACACCAACTCTTGATCTTCATTTTACGTCAAATGATTGGATAAACTGATAGAACACTTATCGTCTATCTGGTTGACTTCTTTCTTTATCTGGTCGACCATGTTGTTAATGACTGCCATCAAGTAGTCGACCTATATACCTTTACGGTCGACCATGTTGTTTCTGACGCCAACGAAATGGTCGACCGAGGCTTATTCTGGTCAACCAAAAATAACAACTTAAACTAAGAACGGTCGACCAGGTGGTCTTTGAGGTCGACCACAATGCTTTCTCGTGCTGCCCAAATTAGTCAATTCGGTCGACCGCCTTCAGGATTAGGTCGACCGAAAATTCCATGTCACGGTGACATGCATGTCATAGTAGGCATATCCTAAAATTTATAAGCATTATAACTAGATTTGGACCAGCTCGTTGGACGAAAATATTTTATTAATGGAAATTTTTGGAAATATATATTTATTTATTTGGTATGATAAACTAATCCAAACAAATTCGCTATTGAAAAATAAAAAATGAATTTATATCATAGAATTTTCTGACATTCTAACTGATTCGCGCATGTAAAATTTATCGTATCTTTTTTGATGAAGTAAAATTTATCGTATCTATGTATTTAAAATTTTCTAAGATTCGATCCTTAATTCTTCCTTATCTTCAAAAATGGCTACTCGCTTATGAGGTTCCTGAGGCTCGCATTTCAAAATATCTAGTTCCTTTGCGATCTAGAACAAAAAATCAAATTTATAGGGATTTTTACAGAACTCGGAGTTGAATTGTGAACCTATATAAAATGAAAGAAATTAAATTCACTCCATAGTAAAAAAATCACATTTTAGCATGTATGATACCTAACCCCCAATCAATGGATTTGAAGTTAATGGAAGCACAGGATAGATTGTTTTATTATTATTATTATTATTATTATTATTATGAATGGCGGGCTTTATTCATCATACAATCAACACTACAATTGTTTCACAACAACAAGACTACAACTGTAACAACATTGAGCGACGAATCAAAAAACAAACTCTAAAAAAAAACTACTACTGCAGCGACTAAAACTAGACAGAAGACTACACCAGTTTGAACCAAAGGGGTTTCCCCTCCGCAGCAGCTGCAAACACCATATCCCCTGCTAACTTGAACTCCATCACCTGCTCCATCCTTTGAGCCAGGCTGCTGGTGACAGGGAATTGTTATCATACCACCTTCTACACCTTTCACGCCATGTTTCACTAATCAACAAGCATCAAATAGTTCTCCCTGTCAAACACTTTCCAAGCCTGTGAACAGCAGCATGCACTTTGAAAATCCATCGTAAGAGGGAATTGCCATGAATCAAATACAATACTTCATACAGCTTGTACATAAGAGCATGAGAAATAGAGGTGTTCCTGTGACTCCGGCTCAGATTGGCAGAGAGGGCAGCTATCATTAACTTCAGGGTTCCAACGCTTGGCTTTATCCAGTGCCGTGATTCTGCCTTTCAGGATGAGCCAGGTTAATAGAGAATTTTTTTAGAATCAGGGGGGCCTTCCAAACTAGGTTAACCCAGGGAACTATAGCCTGTCTTGGTCGAAACTAGCTGTTTTTTATTCAATATTATTTTTATTTCTAATAATTAAGATGACAAAATTACCCTTCCTACAATCACTCGAAGGCTAGAAAATTTAAATAAAAGGTATTTTGATGGAGAACCTCCATATAGGGATGGCAATGGGTCGGGTTGGGTCGGGTTTTGCCAAACCAAAATCCAAACCCATGGTTTTATTCGTGAAAAAAACTCGGGGTAAAAATCATTGGGTTTGAAAAACTCAAACCCAACCCAACCCGCTGGGTTCCACGGGTTTTTATCGTAAAAAAATTCACAATAACAAGTTCCTGTCAAAATTAACGTCAAATATCAATCTCTCAATACAAATTATCCATATACAAAACATCATTCTAGAAAATTCAAGCAAATCACAAATTAACTATACAAATTATTCAACACCAATCTAGAAAACTCAAGAAAATTGAAGCAAATCACATATTATCCATAAATAACATGATTAATTGAAAGCTTCTTCCTTTCAATTAAGTTTTTCAGTCTCCACTTGATAGCATCAATATCATTCTACACAACTAGAAAGCCAAAATTTTGACATGTCTCCACAAACATAAATAAGATTACTTGTTTACAATATTAAATATGATGAGAAAATTAATTATATGGGTGTGGGACCCAAACCCGGCCCAAAAGCCGTCAACACAAATTTTACCCGCGTTGACCGGATTGAGTCTGGTAAGTACCCGTGGGTTCGGATTTTATTGCCATCCCTATCTCCATATAATAGTCGTAGGAGGATATGATGTTCTGAATCCAGAGAGGAGGACTGAATCGTGACCCGGATTGGCTCGGCCGTAGATCCGCCACGGACAGTACTTGATATGCTTTTCGAGAAAGTCAAAATAACAGTCGCAAACTTCTTCTTTTAGTGATGAATTTTAGTTTTGTTGCGAAAGATGGACCAAAAAAAAAACTAATTCAGATCTCTTCCGTAACAAGTTTATAATAATTAATGTTAGGGATGGGTAAAACAGGAGAAAAACGAAACAAATCATGAAAGAGATGGCTAGAAAGGGAAAGCAAGGACAAGAATTGCAATTTGCATGCATGTATAGAGCTGCGGAAAATATACAGCAACTCTCTTGGTCAGGTGCAATCCAGTAGTACTATGATCATCTTTGATTGTGTTCCCATTAGGTGTCTCCCTTGTCATATATGTTTATAATAATGACATTTAAGTATGGTGGATATAAAAGATACTCAAATTTCCAAACACGAGCAAACAGAGATCGAAAAGGAAAGGAAGAAACATGTAACTAAATGTCTAAATCTAGCCACGAGATGACAACAAATTGATACTATTTTCATAATTGATTGTGGATAGTGAATATTACATTAGCATATTAATTGTTATTTTCATAAGTGAATAGTGAATATTGGATAATGAGCCCTTTTACTATGCTATAAAGTATTGGTGCTTTAATGTACAATTTGAAGTTGTACTATAATATTATCAAGTTGTACCATAAAGGAATTTGTACTATTATTCAACGAAAAAAAGAATTTGTACCCTTATGTTATGGTACAACTTTACAAGTTGAAGTTGTATCATCACATAAAGACACAAGTTCAAGTTGTACCATAAAGAATATGTACAAAACAGTGTATGTATAATCTAAAACTGTACCATAACATTGAATGTACAATTTCAAGTTGTACCATAAAAGTAAAAACCTATAGCACCAATACTATAGAGTATTGTAAAATTCCTCTCGGATAATATTAGTATTTGAAAAGTAAATATTATTCTATTGACAATTGATATAGTTAGAATTTAAAACTCAAATTGGACCCAATTCATACCCAATTCAAATCTAAAGTTACTACAAGTGTATATGGGTCATAACAATTAGTCGTGGTAGCTGATTCGATGGGTTAGCAACTTAGCATGTTATAGTTGTTGGTTAGTTGCCCGAGTTTGAAGGTCTGAAAGTGTGTATTTATGAACGGGATTCTCATAATTAATAAAATTGTCAATTTGGCTTCTACCGTGTTCAACAAACTTAAGCAAAACTAAATAGTAATTCCACCAATTAATGGTTTCGCGTTACGCGTTATTCTAGCTCGTTGACCTATGTTCAACTCAAAATACGAGCAAGTTAAGGGTCACGTCCGTTGTTAAGGTCGGTTTTTCGGTTCTAAAACTCTAGCTATGTAGCATATACAATACCCTTTTTAGCTTCTAGAAACGACTTCTTTAGTTTGAGATCCCTCCTAACTAAGAGCATCAATATTGGTATTGCATTTTCAATTGCAAAATGACATAGCATATGTGTTTGCAATTGAAAAAACAATTACATTGATGTGGCTATCAATTGCATATTTGCAAACTTGCAACAAATACAATTCCATATGCAAGTCAAAAAAGCCTAAAAAAATGGGAATTTTTTATTTTATTTTATATTATATTATTTTCTTTTCTCTTTTACTTAATTTTCTATAATTTAAATATAATATAGTGTCAGTGATCAGGGGGTGGTAACTCATATCACGGGCGGAAACTTTGCACAGAGTTCCATTACTATTAATGGATGGCTTCGCGATTTCTTATGGGCACAGTTTAATTACATTTTTAATTGCAAGTTAATTGCATTGATGTAGGTGAATGAAATGAATGTGATATGGATTGCAAAAAATTTGAGTTGATAATAAAAAACACAAATACAATTTCTTTTGTAATTGCATTGATAGAGATGCTCACCGAATAAAAAAAATTAGGACATATGTTCCGCCCAACCACCTGGGTTTTGTTATTGCGTTCATTCTTCCAAGAGCAGCACGAGCAAACAGAGATCGAAAGGGAAAGGAAGAAAAATGTAACTAAATCTAGCTCGAGATGACAACAAATTGATATTATTTTCACAAGTGAAAGGTGAATTTTACATTAACATAATTATTGTTAATTTCATAAGTGAAAAATGAATATTGGTGAATATTAGTATTTCTAAATTGAATATTATTATTTTCATAGTTTTATAGTTTGGTATGGTTTTGAATTTGAAGAATTTACAAAATTGAAGTATGAAAGTTAAATAACTAAATTGACATAGTTTGAACTTGAATTTATCAAATCGTATAAATGAAATTAAGTGATCAAATTGACTTTAAGACAAAGCTAAATATGAAAAAGTAAAAAAAAAAAAACCGACATTGTTGCTATTGCACGATCTAATTTTAACTTATGTTTTAGTTTAAGGATCCAGAACACAATAGTCGAATGAGGAATTTTACAATGCTATATAGCATTGGTGCTATAGATTTTTGCCTTTATGGTACAACTTGAAATTGTATCTTTAACGTTATGGTACCACTTCAGATTGTACCTATACTTTTTGTACAAATTCTTTTATGGTACAACTTAAACTTGTACCTTGTGTGATGGTACAACTTCAAGTTGTAAAGTTGTACCATAACATAATGATACAAATTCCTTTATGGTACAACCTAAACTTATACATTTAATGTTATGGTACAACTTCAAGTTGTACATTAAAGCACCAATGCTATATAGTATAGTAGAAGTGCTCGAGTTGAATAAGGTATCATAGAGACACAATTACGAACGATAAATAGCCAATATCAAAAGGGAAAAATTGACATCATCTACGTCCTCAATAATTTTTCTCTATCTTTTCAATAGCTCAAGTGCCACGTGTCCCTCCTCTCTCACCGCTACCTTGATAAATACCAATCTCAAGGCTGCTTATATTTGCAATTCATCTTAAGTAAGTAGTAAGCCTAACAAAAAAAAAAAAAGAAAAATAAAGTATTTAACGAAGTATTGACCGGTCAATCATGGCTGCTGCCGATCCTATCAGTGCGGGAGAGAGAGACCTAGCGCAAGTACTTGCGGCGAGCTGTGCAGAACCGCCGGCAGCGTATTTGCAGAATGAGGTGATGGCTGGAGTCGCCGACGGGACTCTCCCGGTGATCGACGTCCCCCAAGTTGATATCTCACTCCTATCGTCTCCTTGTCCGGCCACCTCCAAAGCTGAGGCCCAGAAACTCGGCTCAGCTCTCTCCACCTACGGCTGCTGTTTGGTACGTATAATTAACTAAACTAATTAATAACCCTAAATAATAACCCGTATAGGACTAGTTGATTAGCAATAATTAAGGTGCGCGTGTACGTTTAACCGCAGGCAGTAAATCATGGAACAACAAGCGCCTTTCTGGACAGTGTGCGTGATGTTTTGAACGACTTCTATCGACTTCCACTGGAAGAGAAGACTCGCCACGCCAGACCATTTGGAAACTGGGAAGGTTATGGATTTGACGAAATCCCTGACAACTACGGATCCCTTGACTGGAGTGACCGATTGATGATCATGATAAGCCCTGAAGAGCACAAGAAAATGCAGTATTGGCCTGAGGCCAAACCACCCAACTTCAGGTTAGTGAACCTGACGGCAGATAATTATTTGTCTTCAAAGTTATATAACGTCGTGTAACGCATCGAGTTGATATGCATATATACAGGAGAATCGTGGAGGAGTGGGCCAGCAAGTTAGAAGTACTGCTGGAGAAGGTGCTGAAGGGGATGGCGACGTCTTTGGATTTAGACGAGAAGAGTTTTGTGGAGGAGATGGGAGAGCCTCGCATTGTGGCGAGGTTCAACTTGTATCCAAAGTGCTCAAGGCCAGACAGAGTTCTGGGCCTCAACTCCCACACCGATGGGTCAGCTGTCACCTTTCTGCTGCAGGACAAAGAGGTGGAAGGGTTTCAGCTGCTTCTCAAGGATGGACAATGGGTTAGGGTTCCTGTCACGCCCACTGATGCACTCCTCATCAAGATGGGGGATCAAGGAGAGGTAATTACATTTTCAATATTAAATACGTAAAGTTCTGATACCATGTCAAGAACCAGTAGATCCTGATGATAATTTGAATCGCTCGCTGAAGTTTAAAAATGAATCCTATACAAGTACGCGTCGGAGTTTTGAATTGGGTTTTGTATATATGTGTAGATTATAAGCAACGGAGAGTTCAAGGCTCCGCTGCATAGGGGAGCGCTGAACACACAAAGGGCGAGGACGTCGATAGCTGTGTTCTGTATACCGGAGGCGGCCAAGGAAATCGGACCGGCGAAGGGGCTCGTCGACGAAACCAGGCCAGCAAAATATAAGAAGATCACAGACTACGAGCGCGACTACCTTCAAGAGTCGAACCACAGGACATTGATCGACTCCTTGAAGCTTTAAAGCCCTCTAGCTAGTCAGTGATCATGCATGTTTGTTGGATGTCGTGCTGTTAGAATAAGTCCCTACACAGTTATGAATGTAGTGATCCGACCAATCCAATCCACCAATCCAATCTATTTGCCACCTCTAAGTGGTCGCATTTGTATCAACCTTATTTATGATTTTCGGTTTGTTTCGTTGACTTGATGTGTGTTTGGCTTATTAATGTTCCGTGGGATCTCATCTCATGTGACATGTTATGTATTTGATGTTTTTTTTTATAGTTTGATTATCAATAATGTAGACGCCACGGGGAAAAGTGTCTTTTAGCAACACTTTATGGGGTAAATTGCAAGGTTGGTCAATGGGATTATAAAAGATGTTCATATTTAGTCAATACAAATATTTAATTTCATTCGTGATCACTAAGTTTAGTAAAACAATTCAAATTTGGTCACTCTCCGTTAATTTCCGTCCGTCTCCATTAACACCGTCAGTTTTTTGCTGACTTGACTAACAGACTTGCCTAATCATCCAGTTTCAATCGTTAAAAATTGAAACCAGACCCGCCACGTCATCTACACCCGCCATGTCATATAAATCATAACCCAACCCAAAACCCATACACGTAGAAACCGACCCGCCCCAGCTCTCTTCCCTGACCTAATACTCTCCTCGTCTCTTCCCCTGTCGCTGATAGTAGCCACGACATCACATCTCCTCTAGAGATTTACCAAGAGTTGCAGTAGGAAAGGTGGGTGTCAGAATGTCGGTCTCTTAGAGATTGAAGATGGTCTTCTCATCGTCGCTAACAACAATTGAAACCCTAAGGCTTGAGTTTCTCATTGATTCAGTGTTTGTTTATATATTACAGACTTGCATAAGAAAACAAGAGAGCAAAACCCAGTACAGTTTGTTGGTTTGCTTGAAACAGAAACAAAAGCCAGCTTGGGCATAAAGCAAACGTGAACTGGAAAAGGAAGGAGAGGAACGACATCGTTTCTCCAATACGCAGCACTCCATCAAGTGGTTCTTCAATACGCTGCGTAGCAACAATTTGAACTTCAATCTTCTTCCTCGTTGGCGGGTGGAGGAGCAACGGTCACATTGGAATCAAAAGGGGGTTTGAAACCCTTTGCTGTTACCCCCCCCCCCCCCCCCCCCCCCCCCCCCCCCCCCCCCGCAAGCTGGTGGGGAGATATTGCGCACACCGAGCTTGGAGAGGAGAAATTGAAACGGAGCAGGCGACAAAGGCTTAGTGAAGAGGTCAGCGAGCTGATGGGAACTGGAGACATGGAGCAACTTGATGGTCTTGTTCAACAATTTCTCACGAACAAGGTGACAATCCAGTTCTATATGTTTTGTTCTTTCGTGGAATGTTGGGTTCTGAGCAATGTAGACAGCACTCTGGTTATCACAGTAAAGAGTGGTTGGGTGATGATGGAGTACCTGGAAGTCACGCAGCAAGTAAAGGAGCCACTGAATTTCACAGGATGTGAAGGCAAGAGCTCGGTACTCCGCTTCACAGGAGGAACGAGATACAGTTTTTTGTTTCTTGCATTTCCATGAGACAAGGGAGTCGCCAAGATAAATTGCAAAACCAGAAATGGATCTTCTGGTATCAACACAAGCTGCCCAGTCAGAATCAGAGAAGGCTTTGAGATGGAAAGAACCTTTGCTGGGGAAGAACAAACCAGAAGCAGGAGCTGATTTCAGGTATCTGATAATTCGTTGAACAGCCTTGAAATGAATGACTGAGGGGTTAGCCATGTACTGACTGAGTTGTTGAGTAGCATAGCTGATATCAGGTCTTGTAGTTGTCAAGTAGATTAGTTTACCAACAAGCGTCTTGTAGAACTCAGGGTCTTCATATGGAGTGGATGAATCATTAGATAGATGTAGCTTGTAATCCATTGGGGTAGAAACAGTCTTTGAATCAAGAAGCTGTGCTTCTTCAATAATCTCAAGTGTATATTTCCTTTGTGAGATGTGAATGCCAGAAGAATTGCGAGCTACTTCAATACCAAGAAAGAATTTCAAGTCACCCATATCTTTGATGCTGAATTCAGTATGCAAAACCTGTTTTAAAAGCTGAATCTCTTTGAGATCATTTCCACCAAGAACCAAATCATCAACATAAATAAGGATACAAGTATAACTTGTATCTGTAACCTTATAGAATAGAGAATGGTCAGCTTTACTTTGGACATACTTGTAACTGATCAACTTATCAGTTAATTTGGAAAACCACTGCCTGGATGCTTGCTTTAGGCCATAGAGAGATTTTTTAAGTTTGCAAACAGGATTAGTGAATCTAGCTGGAGGGTTGTATCCCTTAGGAAGAGTCATATAAACTTCTTCCTGTAAATCACCATGGAGGAAGGCATTATTCACATCCAACTGGTGAATATGCCAATTCCTCTGTGCTGCAATGGCAAGAAACATCCTGACTGTGGTCATCTTAATAACTGGTGCAAATGTATCTTGATAATCCACACCTTCCTGCTGTGTATGACCTTTAGCAACAAGCCTAGCTCGAAATTTATCCAAAGTAGCATCAGGATTTAATTTCACCTTGTAAACCCATTTGTTGCCAATAGTTTTCTTTCCTGGGGGAAGATTGACAACATCCCATGTTTGGTTCTTAATGAGAGCACCTATCTCATGTTGCATAGCAGCATTCCACTGATCAGATAGAGCTGCCTCCTTGTAAGAGTTGGGCTCTTTGTAGGTAGAAATGGTGAGGACAAAATGTTTGTAATGTGGAGCTAGCTTGTTGTAGGATAGAGAAGAAAGAAATGAATACCTTTTGTCTTGAACCTGTAGAGAAGGAGAATGACTTGAATTGCTAGACTTTTGGAGAAGATAACAATGGTCATCTTGAGTAAGGTGGGATGGGGGTTTGGATTGTCTGTCAGATCGTCTAAGAACTGGTTGAGGGGTTGGTGGTGATGGTTCTGGTGAGGTAGTAGTATGTGAGGAAGAGGGTTGTAAAGGAGAAGAGGTGGAGGGTGAGGTAGGGGAATGGGAAGAAGGTGGTGAGGATGGTGAAGAAGGTACATAAGTGGGAGATGGAATCAGTGGGGGGTCAGTGGTAGGATGGATCTCATCAGAGTTTAGATATGGGGATGGTAAGGGAAACAAGTTGGTGGAGTCTTGATTGTTGTTTGTGATGTCTTTAAAGGGAAAATGATTTTCATAAAAAATGACATCTCTGGAAACAAAAACATCATGGGAGACAAGATCATAAACTTTGAAACCCTTAATACTAGAAACATAACCAAGGAAGACCCCTTTTCTGGCTCTGGGAGCAAATTTTGTTATGTGATTAGCCAGGGTACTAGCATAACAAAGAGATCCAAAAACTTTGAGGTCTGTGAAGTCAGGTAAGGAATTATGAAGCTTCTGGAAGGGTGTTTGGTTGTTTAGAATAGTGGTGGGGACTCTGTTGATCAAGTAAACAGCATGTTTGATGCTGTCACCCCAGAAAGCAGCAGGTAGAGCAGCCTGGAACATGAGAGCTCGAGCAACAGCAATAATATGCTGATGCTTTCTCTCTACTTTGCTGTTTTGCTGGGGTGTTTCAACACACGAGAGTTCATGTAGGATTCCAGTGGATTGAAAGAACTCATCCATCTGGAATTCTCTACCTTGATCACTCCTAATCTTTTGAACAGAGAGACTGAATTGTCTTTCAATTTGATGACAGAAATGAATGAGTTTTGGTCTTGCTTCAGATTTAAGTTTAAGCAACACAACCCAAGTCATTCTTGAAAAATCATCAACAATAGTTAAAAAATAACAAAAGCCATCATATGTAGGAACAGGGTTTGGACCCCAAATATCAACATGTATCAACTGGAAACAACGTTGGGTTACAGTTTGACTGATAGGAAAAGTAAGCCTCCTTTGCTTTGCAAAGTGACAGACATCACAGGGCTGATCCTTGAATGTTTGGATGGAGGTACAAAATTGTGAAAGGTAAGGAACTCTGGTATGGGAGACATGTCCTAAACGAAAATGCCAGAGATCAAAAATGGTAGCCCTAGCAGCAGAAAGGAGTTTAGGTTTACAGTCTAAATCAAGATGATAAAGGCCATGATGTAGCCTAGCAGAACCAGTCATTCTCTTCATCTGCAGGTCCTGTATGAGACAAAAATCAGAATAGAAAGTCAAGTAGAAGGGCTTTCTAGTAGTGAGTTTACTCACTGAAACAAGATTGAATGTGAAATGTGGAACATATAAGACATCTTCTAGGATTAAGGAAGGACTACACTTAGCAGTGCCAATGTGAGTAGCCTGGATATGATCCCCTGTGGGCAAGGTAATGTAAACATTTTCTACTTTTTTGTGGTCAGATAAGTAGTCTAGGGAACAGGTGATGTGGTCAGAAGCACCAGTGTCTAATATCCAATCAGATGAAGTTTTAAGTTGCTGGACTTCAGGAGGAATGGAACATAGAAATCTACCTGAAGAGGAAGAGTTGGAAACATAAGCAGCAGCAGAGAAAACAGAACCCTTGTTGTTGTTCATCAAGGACATTAACTTGTCATAGTCTGCCTTTGTGAGCTTGACTTCTTGGTCTGAGGAGTCAGCTGTAACAGAATTGACAGATGCTCTTGGTCTGGCAGAGTTGGTTCTTGCTGCAATATGAGGAGGAAGACCATGTTTTTGGAAACATCTGTCTTCAGTATGTCCAGGTCTCTTACAGTAAGTACACTCGAGGGATCGAGGCTGAGATGGAGGTGTTCTCTGATTTAGACCAGGAGGCCAACCATGGATATGGTAGCATATGTCCTGAGTATGGCCTTCCCTTTTGCAATGTGTGCAAAAAGGTCTCTTAGTTGAAGTAGGGAACCTCCTGTTAGTTCCTTGAACAACCATAGCCATAGGTTCACTGATGGCAGAGGCCACCATTTTACCTTTTTGGGTGCCATAGAGCTGTCTTTCGTGCTGTAAAAGTCTTTGAAAGACACGATTCATAGTAGGCAGTTCTTCACCAAAGAGAACTTGAGCACGAACAGCAGCAAAGTTCTCATTTAGACCTCTGAGAAACTTGATGACATAATTTGTATCATGATATTCTGAAACCTTTTTCATTGCTTGACATGTTAAGTGGCTTGTTGGAGTACAAGCACAAAGGAGAAGGGGTTGATAGTTGTCGAGCTCATCAATGAGAGTAATGACATTGCCATAGTATTCAGTAATGGTCTGGTTACCTTGATGAAGAGTGGAAAGTGCCTCTTCTAACTCAGCAACACGAATGATATCACCAGATCCATACCTGGACTGTAAACTTTTCCAAGCATCAGCTGCTGTTTTGCAGGAAAGGATTGTTTTCCTGATCTCAGAATCGACTGCCTGTTGAATCCAGCTTAGTATCATGATGTTGTTCCTAACCCAGGCACCATGAAGTGGATCTGCAGGGTCTGGTTCTGTGAGAACACCATTGATGAATCCCAGCTTGTTCTTGGCAGCAAGAGCATTGTACATTCCCCGACTCCAATCGTTGTAGTTGATGGTAGTGAGTTTCTCACCAACCAAAAGTAAACCAGGTTGCTCAGAACCATGTAAGAAAAATGGATCTTCCATTTGGTAAATGTTGTGAGGCTGTGGATTTGGTAATGGGGGTTGATTCTGTGGTTGAGGATCTTGTTGCTCATCGTGCTGAGCATTTGGATCCATGGCGGCGGCTTTGGGAAGAGAGCTAGGTTAGAGGCTCTGATACCATAACAACAATTGAAACCCTAAGGCTTGAGTTTCTCATTGATTCAGTGTTTGTTTATATATTACAGACTTGCATAAGAAAACAAGAGAGCAAAACCCAGTACAGTTTGTTGGTTTGCTTGAAACAGAAACAAAAGCCAGCTTGGGCATAAAGCAAACATGAACTGGAAAAGGAAGGAGAGGAACGACATTGTTTCTCCAATACGCAGCACTCCATCAAGTGGTTCTTCAATACGCTGCGTAGCAACAATTTGAACTTCAATCTTCTTCCTCGTTGGCGGGTGGAGGAGCAACGGTCACATTGGAATCAAAAGGGGGTTTGAAACCCTTTGTTGTTAGTCGCACTTCACCATGAACGGGATCTTCTCTCCTCTTCTTCGGCAATAGCTCCAACGTAAGATCCAGATTCACTACAGACTTCCCTTGCATCGTCTGCTGCTCTGCTTTCAACTTGTGCGGCTGGATCGATCGGTCGTCGAGGAGCTCGCCGATGGCGCCTGAGCACTCGCTGCCCTGCCACAAACTTACCGGAGCTTCCACGCCATTCTGCTCGAGAAACCAGCAAGTGCTCGAGAAACCAATATTTAGTATATCCAAAAATATTTCATAATTAGTTGTGTTCATATATGAATTCATTCAAAATTTAGTATATCCAAAAAATTGCATAATTAGTTGTGTTCATATATTAATTAATTCAATATTTAGTATATCCAAAAATATTTCGTAATTTGGGTTTAGCCAGATCACCGATTTTATTTTGGGATTAAAAATTAAAATTACTTCTTTAAGAATTATATTTACAATTTCGATATTTTGATATCAAAATTCCGAAAACCCATTTCCACCCCAAGCTAGTATATATAAACAAAGAAGTTGGAGCACTTGCAGATCACTCCCTGCCGGTTGGCTCCCTCCACCAACTTAATTAAAACTCAGCACAAGAAGTCCTTCTGCCGTCATTTAGAGGTATTTTTTTACCTTTAGTGACCATGTTTCGGCCTTCAATTATAGCAACGACCTTGCGGGTAGCGCCTCTCAGAAGAAGGTTGAGCTTGGCATCTTCGTTCTGCTCCTTGCAGGATGGCATCGTCGTCAGCTCTGCAAAACCAGAAACCGTACTAATCAAACCCTCCTCGCCAACTCCCCGCCACCTCACCAAATTTAAACTTTCTCTCCTCGACCTTTACTTTCCTCCAATCTACACACCCTTCATCTTCTTTTATCCTCCAGCTCCGGCCGGGAGATTGGACGTCCTAAAATCCTCACTCGCCCACGCTCTCACGCGCTTCTACCCTCTCGCCGGGAGATTAATGTCCAAGCCCCACGATTCCATTCCGTTCATCCATTGCAACGACGAGGGTGTCCCCTTCTCATCCGCGGCGGCTGGCATCCGACTGGACTCGTTTCTCGGCAGGCCACCCAAAATCGAGTCGCTCCACCAATTTCTCCCCTTCCGGCAGCCATTCCTGATCGCCGCCGACTTCCCTCCGCAGATGGCCGTCAGGGCCACCGTCTTCCCCTGCGGCGGGATCGCCCTCGGGATTTGCTTTTCGCACAAGTTCATGGACGCCCACTCTTTGATCGATTTCATGAAACTCTGGGCTGTCATCGCCGCCGGGGGAAACCACATGGTCGGCGGCGGCGCGTACGCTCACGATAGAGCCGCAGCCTCGCTCTTCCCCGCGCGTGACGACGACGTGATCCCTCCAGAAGACCACTACTTGACCAAAGGAGGGAAGAGGAGCGCGACCAGGAGATTCGTGTTCGACGAGGAAGCCATTTCGTCGCTAAAAGTGAGAGCCAGTAGCGAATCGGTCCCCAAACCGACCCGGTCCGAGGCGGTTTTCGGTCTAGTGTGGAGTTGTGCGGTGAACGCAACCGTTAGAGCATTGTCAGCTGAAGGGGCAAAATCACAAACTTCAGTTCTCTCCATTGGAGGTAAATGAGAGTAGTTTCCATAACTTAGATATACAATAGAGGTGTGGCAAATAGTTTGAATTCATATATTAGTACTTGATTGGATTGTTTCCATAAATTAAATGGATTGGTGGACTGATACATTAATACAAATGACATACAAGTCTTGGATCAGTATGTAACTTTTAAAAAATTTAGGTACTAAAATTTCATATCAAAAAATTTATGTACCAAAATGTAATTTTCCAATAATATTTTTCGTATAGAATATAAATTTTAAGTACTAAAATGTAAAATATATAAAGTATAGGTACTAAATCATAATTTATCATTTGGATTCGTTAATCAATCCATGAATCCACTAGTCCAATTGGATGGTGATAAAATGGTTTAGAATAGGTAGATAATTTGGTGGATGGATTGGATATATAGATTCGTATCCTAATTGCCATCTCCATACATAACCAATAACTCCCAGAGTCCCGCTTATGAAAAATAGTTTACTTTTTTCTCTATTTAATTTGACATGTTATATCTCTTTCTTTTTAAATCGTAATTCAAATTTTATTGGGGAAAAATGTGTATTTAGCTTTGCCGGTGGACCTCCGCCCTCGGATGAAAGAACCATGGCCTGATTACTCGGTTGGCAACATATTGTTGGACCTCATCTGTTCGTATGACACCGATCAAGAACCCGATCTTCTCTTGGACGAAACAAAGAGACTGCAAGCGTTCGTGCAGAAATTGAGGAGTTCGATAGCGAAACTGGACGAAGAGTTGGTGAGGAAGTTAGAAGGCGGAGGTGGGAGAGAAGAGCTGCTGAAATACGAGGAGGTAATGTGTAAGATGGTGGAAGGTGCAGCTCAAAGGGGGACTAAGGTGATGCCATTTACGATGTCGAGCGTGGTGGCAATGGGATTCTCCGATGTAGATTTCGGATGGGGCCAACCATTGTGGATTAGTATGACTGAATTCCCTGATCTGTATACTAATGGAGTGGCTCTCATGAATTCACCAATCGGCTATGGAGTTGAAGCATGGGTCACCATGCCAGAAGAAGAAATGACCATATTGGAACGTGATTCTGTAATCCTAGCCTACGCCAAGAAAAATCCAAGTGTACTTTGAGCTTGTTTAATTAACCTCAACACGAAACTTTCAGGCTTTCAGCTTTAGAGAGTTTACTCAATAATTAAAATTAATGGTCGGTAAAGATTCTTGGTCGAAATTAAGTCATTTGTTCAGCACAGGTTTACAATTATAGTCGAACCGTCGTAGAATGATGATGCATCAAATGATGGCTTGTCACTAGAGCATTCACTGGTAAATTGTATGAAATTCATAGTTCAACGTTTCTCAACAATTCGAGTTATAGAAATAAAATGTTCTCGGCATATGGCGGCAGCAACTTATTTGATAATCGCGAGGTCTTGTGTTTGAATCTCGCTGATCAACTCTAATGTTCAAGCACATGGTATTCGAAAAAGCATGTTATTAAATGATATCAGATTTGTAATTGAAACTTTCCCAACAACTCAAATTATCGACATTGAATGGTACTTCATGTTAAAAGCCCAATGTGTATGAGCTGAATTATAGATCAGAAATGATACACTAACTAATTGAGGCTACATACCATGAAGAGAAAGTTAAAGATATTCACTTGAAAGGAACACATTCAATACAATAAGAAAAAAAATTAAGAAGTTGTGCTAGTGATTAAATGTAATGAAAAATTCCATATGACACTTTGAATTCAAATTTTGACAACAACAATTAACAAAAAATATATATATAATAAGAGAGTGCCAAAACCATCCCCTAAAGCCAACATGCACGGTTATTCTCCCAGTTCCAGTAATAATTCAAAGGGTTAATAGCATTTTGTACCCTTCTATTATTACAAATTAACAAACGTATCCCTCTATTAAATTTTTGCACAAATATACTCTTTTAATATCAAAACGTAACAAGTATACTCTTCCGTCTAACTATCTGTTAATTAGCCGTTAAATAAGCCGAAATAACACAAATGCCCTCATTTATACTTAATTTCTTTTTTTTTATTAATAACAAGTTACAGCCCAATTAAATATTAAATTATCCATTGTTTCAACAGAGGAACCTTTCGGTCTTCCTCAATCACCCGCCGCGGTAGAGACTCCGGCGCCCATCAACTCCGGCTGCTCCCAGCTTGTCCTCGATGGCGGCTGGAGCAGGCTTCAGCGGGCGGGACAATGAGTACCCTGCGGTGAGACGCGACGAACAACAGCGGGCCGGCGAGACGATGAATACCCGCCGGTGATGAGATGCGACGAATCCTACGCCAGAAAATTTGGCTACGCCTCTCCTCACCTCTTAATTATAGGCTTATCGCTCTGTTCGCAAAGGGTGGTATTTTCCTTGTGAGAAGAAGCTTCGGAAGATGAGAATTGATTGGAAGCAAGTCGGTGGGATTAGAAAGCAAATGGCTAATTTGTGAGTTGGTGGAGGCATCCACAATTATTCAAAAAGATTGGTGTGTGAACTGAAGCCACCAATTGAAGTTGCGAAAGGCCGCCGTTCGCCGACAGAAAGCTGGGTGCTATCTATCTCCTCGTGCCGCTGGCCGTCTCCCCAGCTACTATCTGCTCCAGCCGCCGGCAAGGAAAAGCCAGGTGGTGCAGTCCTCCCTGCCGAGGACAAGTAGGGTGAGTCGGAGTCTATTGGTGGGGGAGTCTTCGATGGCTGGTGATTGAGGAAGACAGAAAGTTTCTTTTTCTGTTGAAAAGAATATCGATTGGATTTAGGGTAGGTTTTAATTTTTTAATTGGGTTGTGAATTGGGACTAAAAAAAATGATAACCGTAATTAAGAGGAAACGGAGGGTATTTGGGTCATTTTCAAGCCTCAATTAACAGAATGGTATATTTGTTACATTTTGATATTAAAAGGGTATATAAGACTTATATTATTATCTTGTAACAGTCCAACATACCGACGTACGTGATTCAGATCTCATACAAGCTAGGTTTCAAATATGTTTATATTTTACATTAAAATTAATATATTATATAATTTTTGTCAACGTATTTTAGATCTCCGGATCAAGTTTATGATAATTAAAGTTTGGTGGGGATGATAATAAAACACGTTTTGCAAGGGCATCAAGTGTATGCTCTTAATCCTAATTATTGTTCCCTAAGAGCTTTACTAAGTTTTGTTTATGGTCATCTACTTTTTTGTAACCGTGGTTCTTCCTCTCATCTCTTTCCTAACCATTGTATCTGGGATGAGATATCCTCACAACTCGTTCAGGAGTTGTGATTTAGACAATCCCTTCCTACACATCATAAGATCCATTTATTTTTTCTAATAGATGGATGAGATTGAGTGAATGGTATTTTTTAACGAAAAAAATATAAACACACAAGATTGTTACCCTTGTTAATTTACATATCCTCCCTCTTTCTAAAAACTCTAAACAAACTCGCTCCTCCTTATTCCTCTCCGTCTCTTCACCACCATTCCTCACCGTCATCCCACCTCCCTCTCCCTGCCCACCAGAACATCCCCCTCCCTCTCAACTCCACCGCCACCCCCATCTCCCTCTGTCTCCACACTACTAAAAAATCATTTCATCACGGGATATTCCGTGTTTAATAGTTTAGTCACGATAAAAATACCATATTATATACCATCGTGTCTAATTGTAATGGTCATGGAAAGTTGTACCGTGTCCCCACACAAAATCAGGAAAAAAACTCAATTAGGGACTAGATGTACACCTTTAAACATGGAATATACCATGACAAAATCATTTCCCGTAATTAAATGTCAATCATTAGTAATGATATTATGTTGATTCTCTAGTGTCTAGATACTAATAATGTAATGATATTTTTCAGCTAATTACCAACCACTAATCAAGAATATTTTACATGATACATAACCCGTAAACATGATATTCTCTCTAATTTGTTACACCATTTTTTCTTGTCAACGCTCCGCGTTGGAACTTGCAATATTGAGAGCCCGACTAATGAAAAGAAAATAAAAAGAACCTTACAAATGATGTCTCTTAATAGGCACAACCAAAAACCATACCTTAACATGCAAAACAAAAATTGCAAATAATGTCCGTTACTGAAATGAAAATACAAAGAGTTTTTACTAAGAATTTCTTAGCCCATCACTTGGAAAAAATAAAGCAATCACTAACTAAAGTATCAATCTTTGTGTACAACAAGATAACTTCTCTGCTCGTCTAATTTCAAACTCTTCTTCCTCTTTGTTCAATGACATGTCAGAATGCGGTAATAAGCTACTTCACCTTATCCGCCAAAAATCAAACACAACCCAGCTATCAACAGGTGCAATTAATACAAAAGTATAAATACATTTGTCAAGAACCAGTTGCTCTCAATAACTCGAGTTATTGGGAGAGGTTCAATCGTGGATCATATACCACAACACTAACAAGCCCCCTCAAACGAAAGTCACTCACAAGGGCTTGAAGTTTGCACAGGTCTGAAGACAAGAATACCATGTGCTTAACAAATGGGGGTCACCGAGAATCGAACACAAGATCTCTCGATCACAGAGGTTCAATCGTGGATCATATACCACAACACTAACAACATTGGAACCCATCAAAGCATAAAAATCTCCACAACAGATCAGCTCCTTGCTTCCAACTTCTCACCCTACGCTTCCACTATACACTAGATTTTGGGTTTGCCTTCTGATGTAAAATGTTTTTTTTTCACCTCCCACTTCACCAAAAAGCCTTTTGCCAGCGCGGTATTTTTCGCCTAGCTAGCAGTATATATAAACAAAGAAGTTGCAAAGAGTTGTAGGTCATTCCCTGCTGGTTGGCTCCCTCTCACAAGTTAATTAAAACTCAGCGCAAGAAGTCTTTTCTGGCATTTTTTAAAGGTATACATCTTTACCTTTAGTGACCATGTTTCGGCATTCAGTTATAGCAACGATTTTGCGGGTAGCGCCGCCAAGAAGAAGATCGAGCTTGGCATCTTCGTTCTGCTCGTCCCTGCAGAATGACAAAGATAATATCGTTGTCGTCAGCTCTGCAGAACCAGAAACCGTACTAATCAAACCCTCCTCGCCAACTCCCCGCCACCTCACCAAATTTAAACTTTCTCTCCTCGACCTTTACTTTCCTCCAATCTACACACCCTTCATCTTCTTTTATCCTCCAGCTCCGGCCGGGAGATTGGACGTCCTAAAATCCTCACTCGCCCACGCTCTAACGCGCTTCTACCCTCTTGCCGGGAGATTAATGTCCAAGGCCGACGATGATTCCGTTCCATTCATCCACTGCAACGACGAGGGTGTCCCCTTCTCAGTCGCCGCCGCCGGCATCCCACTTGACTCGTTTCTCGGCAGGTCACCGCAAATCGAGTCGCTCCACCAATTTCTCCCTTTCCGGCAGCCGTTCCTGATCGGAGCGGATTTCCCTCCGCAGATAGCCGTCAGGGCCACCGTCTTCCCCTGCGGCGGGATCGCCGTCGGGATCTTCTTTTCGCATAGGTTCATGGACGCCCACTCTCTTATCGATTTCATGAAACTCTGGGCCGCCATCGCCGCCGGGGGAAACGAAATGGTCGGCGGTGGCGCGTACGCTCACGATCGAGCTGCAGCCTCGCTCTTCCCCGCGCGTGACGGCGACGTGATCCCTCCAGAAGACCACTACTTGACCAAAGGAGGGAAGAGGAGCACGACAAGGAGATTCGTGTTCGACGAGGAAGCGATTTCGTCGCTAAAAGTCAGAGCCAGTAGCGAATCGGTCCCCAAACCGACCCGGTCCGAAGCGGTTTTCGGTCTGGTGTGGAGTTCTGCGGTGCACGCTACCGCTAGAGCATTGTCAGCTGACGGGGCAAAATTGCAAACTTCAGTCCTCTCGATTGCAGGTAAACATGTTGTTGTTAGTATGTGGTATAAAATTCGTTATCTAGCCCTCGATCTTCCAATTTTTATTGAAAACACAATTTTCAAACGATGTGTGTTAGTTATGGCGGCGGACCTTCGCCCTCGGATGAAGGAACGATGGCCCGATTACTCGGTCGGCAATATATTGTTGGACCTCATTTGTTCGTATGACACCGATCAAGAACCCAATATTCTCTTGGACGAAACAAAGAGACTGCAAGTATTCGTACAAAAAATGAGGAGTTCGATAGCGAAACTGGACGAAGAGTTGGTGAGCAAGTTAGAAGGTGGAGGTGGGAGAGAAGAGCTGTTGAAATACGAGGAGGTAATGTGTAAGATGGTGGAAGGTGCAGCTCAAAGGGGGACTAAGGTGATGCCTTTTACGATGTCGAGCGTGGTGGGAATGGGATTCTACGATGTTGATTTTGGATGGGGCAAGCCCACGTGGATAAGTATGACTGAATTCCCAGATCTGTATACTAATATAGTCATTCTCATGAATTCGCCAATTGGGTATGGAGTTGAAGCCTGGGTCTCCCTGCCAGAAGAAGAAATGGGCATATTGGAACGTGATCCTCTAATCCTAGCCTACGCCAAAAAAAATCCTTAAGTGTACTCTGAGCATGTTTAATTTAACATACACGAAAGTTTCAGCTTTACGGACCGTTTGGTACCAAATGATTTTAGAATTCATTTCGTTTTAAAATGAATTCCTGTGTAGAATTCATTGTCAAATGAATTCCTGTGTTTGGTATATGCTATTAGCGTTACAATCAAATTCTTGTCGACGTTCCTCATGCTGCATGAATTGACGCCAAATAATATATGTAGAAGTAATTTTGTTAATAAATTAGAATGATTATATCCTTTTATCATAACTAGCAAGGACTCGCTCGTTTGCGCTTCGCGGCGAATGAAAAGTTCTAATTATGTTTATAAAGTTATCGTGTTAATAGGAAATTAAATTTGTCATCAGAACTATAGGATTGTATTTAAATTATTTCATGTACTTGAATTTGTCAATAGTATTACTATACCTATGGAACAATGTCATCAAGTTCCTCTCACTTTTGTTGAACCACGTGGTTTCACTCAACAAAAGTAAAACGATAATCGAAAGTTACTATAAGTGAATTTAGAATCAAGGTTAACCAAAAAGGAGGTAAAAAGTTAAACGGCATTTATACTTTTAATACATTCAATCGTATAAGAAAATATTCTCATAAACATTTGTTCATTTTCCTATGCTTCTTCCCCATCTTTTTCGTAACTTAGCAGTCTAATATTCTGAGTTTAGGCAGGAAGTTTAGCATAAATCAGCATGTTAGACGACAATTCTGAGTTTTTGCTCTGCATCCCTTCAGCCATGATCTTTAGATTGGTCCAAACTCATGGCTCACTAATACACACACCATCGTCATATAACATACTTAAGTTGTCCTCTCTTCATTATAATATGGAAAATTTGCAAAGTTCCCAGAACCAATATATCCTATAACTCCAATCATAAGAGGCCCAAGATCCATCTTATTAAATTTCTCTCGTATGAGCAACACAATCCAAGTTTGCAACAACAAAAAATCCAAGTTTCAATACCTTTTCGATTTCTCCATAAGGCTTCACTTGTTGTTGATGCTCAGTAAGCTTTCGTTAACTCTCCTCAAATTTGTTTTTAACAAAAGCGAACTGGAGTATGATCCGATAATGTGAACGACTCGATCTTTAGCAGAGTCAAGGGGAAGAAATAAAACTCTAAACCCTAAATCGCTAAACCCTAAACAAACTGAAGTGACCAAATGACAAAGAAGAAAGATGAAAGAGAAACAAAAATCACCTTCCAATTTTTTTTACATAACAAAGAAAGGAAGAGAGAGAGAAAGAAAGCATAAAGAAAAATAGATTGATTAATTAATAAAAGTTAATTCCATTGGCTGATTTTAATTAATAAAAAAATAGTTTTGATGTGACACTACGAAACAGTAAAATTCTTATTTGTTCTTTTAAAGTACTAATTGGTAAATACTTGTGGAATTCATTTGAAAATTCCATCTCAATTCCTCGAAATTGCTATAACTAGTTCCAATTCTGTAGAATTCAAAATTTAAAATTGATAAGGAATTCTTTTAAATACCAAAAAATTTAAAAGAACGTGTAATAAAATGGAAATAATAACATTCATCACACTCAGATTTCGAATAATAACATTCATCGTCACATTCGGATTTCGAATTTTAAGACCAACAATCAATTTAGAACATATTATAAGGGAGGGCCAAAATCATACCCCTAAAGCCACTAATGCACGGTTATTCAACTAGCCCCAGTAAAAAATTACTTTTATTATCATTATTATCATGCAACAGTCCAACATACCGACTTAATTCAGATCTCATACAGGCTACGCTTCAAATCTTTTTATATTATACATTAAAATTGATATCTTATATACTTTTTTGTCAACGTAATTTAGATCTTGGGATCAAGTTTATGATAATTAAAGTGTGGTGGGGATGATAATAAAACACGGACAAAACGAAACAATATAACACGAAAGAGATGGCAAGCTAGCGAAAGCAACGGCAATAATTTGGGTGCATGTTTATTAAAAGTGTTCATAAGGTGATTAGCATCCTATCTTCTCCTTTAAGGGGAGGGATCATAAATGCATTAATTTTTTGGTTCAATTTGATGACAAAAAAATCTTCATGAATTTTTATTTTTTCACAGTGATGATATAAATTTGTTTTTATTATTAAGTGCTGCTTAACGAATTCAAATTCCAAATCTCCTAGTTGAAGACTAACTGTAGTATCACCAGTCACCAGACTCTGCTCTTTGCCTCGTTCGACCGGCTTCAGCATCCCTATTACTGTATTACATATATAGAAATAGAACCCTCCCCGTTTCCTTTCCGGTTTTCAAATCCAGTTTCCTCTCTAATCTATAGCCTATTTTTGTCGGCTTTCAACGTTCCAAATAATTTGGTCTCTCCTTGAATTGTTGTCAGGGCAATACGATGGTAATTGTCGATAAGTAATTTAAAGGAAATTTGCAATGTATAGAAACGGACAGAAGAGGGAATGGAAATCGAACTCAGCAATTATATTAATTTTGTGCCTATAAGGTGGTTTCTAATTGAATTAATATGGTTTGTGGTGTTTTTAGAAGTTCTAGGTACCAAAATGCAATTAAAAGTAAGAAAAAAATTGGAAATGCCGTTTTCCTTGGATTTTGAAGGCGACGGACCACAGATTCGTCCTTAGGGTACTCTCTACCAATGATGAAGTCTGCTAATCGCCGATTTGGGCAGAAATTTGGTCGAACAGTTTCGGGGGGCATTTTCGTAATTTTTCGGCGATATTTTTTTCGAAAGGCCGTTTTGCTTGGATTTTGAAGGCGACGGATCACGAATTCAGGCTGAGGCTATTCTTTAGGGATGGATAAGTCTATTAAACACCGATTCGGGCGGAATATTTCCGGGGCAATTTTTGGCAGTTTCCAAAGGGGTACCATCACCGATTTCGGGCGATTTTTTGGAAATGCCGTTTTCCTTGGATTTTGAAGGCGACGGACCACAGATTCGTCCTTAGGGTACTCTCTACCAATGATGAAGTCTGCTAATCGCCGATTTGGGCAGAAATTTGGTCGAACAGTTTCGGGGGGCATTTTCGTAATTTTTCGGCGATATTTTTTTCGAAAGGCCGTTTTGCTTGGATTTTGAAGGCGACGGATCACGAATTCAGGCTGAGGCTATTCTTTAGGGATGGATAAGTCTATTAAACACCGATTCGGGCGGAATATTTCCGGGGCAATTTTTGGCAGTTTCCAAAGGGGTACCATCACCGATTTCGGGCGATTTTTTGGAAATGCCGTTTTCCTTGGATTTTGAAGGCGACGGACCACAGATTCGTCCTTAGGGTACTCTCTACCAATGATGAAGTCTGCTAATCGCCGATTTGGGCAGAAATTTGGTCGAACAGTTTCGGGGGGCATTTTCGTAATTTTTCGGCGATATTTTTTTCGAAAGGCCGTTTTGCTTGGATTTTGAAGGCGACGGATCACGAATTCAGGCTGAGGCTATTCTTTAGGGATGGATAAGTCTATTAAACACCGATTCGGGCGGAATATTTCCGGGGCAATTTTTGGCAGTTTCCAAAGGGGTACCATCACCGATTTCGGGCGATTTTTTGGAAATGCCGTTTTCCTTGGATTTTGAAGGCGACGGACCACAGATTCGTCCTTAGGGTACTCTCTACCAATGATGAAGTCTGCTAATCGCCGATTTGGGCAGAAATTTGGTCGAACAGTTTCGGGGGGCATTTTCGTAATTTTTCGGCGATATTTTCGAAAGGCCGTTTTGCTTGGATTTTGAAGGCTACGGATCACGAATTCAGGCTGAGGCTATTCTTTAGGGATGGATAAGTCTATTAAACACCGATTCGGGCGGAATATTTCCGGGGCAATTTTTGGCAGTTTCCAAAGGGGTACCATCACCGATTTCGGGCGATTTTTTGGAAATGCCGTTTTCCTTGGATTTTGAAGGCGACGGACCACGAATTCAGGCTGAGGCTATTCTTTAGGGATGGATAAGTCTATTAAACACCGATTCGGGCGGAATATTTCCGGGGCAATTTTTGGCAGTTTCCAAAGGGGTACCATCACCGATTTCGGGCGATTTTTTGGAAATGCCGTTTTCCTTGGATTTTGAAGGCGACGGACCACAGATTCGTCCTTAGGGTACTCTCTACCAATGATGAAGTCTGCTAATCGCCGATTTGGGCAGAAATTTGGTCGAACAGTTTCGGGGGGCATTTTCGTAATTTTTCGGCGATATTTTTTTCGAAAGGCCGTTTTGCTTGGATTTTGAAGGCGACGGATCACGAATTCAGGCTGAGGCTATTCTTTAGGGATGGATAAGTCTATTAAACACCGATTCGGGCGGAATATTTCCGGGGCAATTTTTGGCAGTTTCCAAAGGGGTACCATCACCGATTTCGGGCGATTTTTTGGAAATGCCGTTTTCCTTGGATTTTGAAGGCGACGGACCACAGATTCGTCCTTAGGGTACTCTCTACCAATGATGAAGTCTGCTAATCGCCGATTTGGGCAGAAATTTGGTCGAACAGTTTCGGGGGGCATTTTCGTAATTTTTCGGCGATATTTTTTTCGAAAGGCCGTTTTGCTTGGATTTTGAAGGCGACGGATCACGAATTCAGGCTGAGGCTATTCTTTAGGGATGGATAAGTCTATTAAACACCGATTCGGGCGGAATATTTCCGGGGCAATTTTTGGCAGTTTCCAAAGGGGTACCATCACCGATTTCGGGCGATTTTTTGGAAATGCCGTTTTCCTTGGATTTTGAAGGCGACGGACCACAGATTCGTCCTTAGGGTACTCTCTACCAATGATGAAGTCTGCTAATCGCCGATTTGGGCAGAAATTTGGTCGAACAGTTTCGGGGGGCATTTTCGTAATTTTTCGGCGATATTTTTTTCGAAAGGCCGTTTTGCTTGGATTTTGAAGGCGACGGATCACGAATTCAGGCTGAGGCTATTCTTTAGGGATGGATAAGTCTATTAAACACCGATTCGGGCGGAATATTTCCGGGGCAATTTTTGGCAGTTTCCAAAGGGGTACCATCACCGATTTCGGGCGATTTTTTGGAAATGCCGTTTTCCTTGGATTTTGAAGGCGACGGACCACAGATTCGTCCTTAGGGTACTCTCTACCAATGATGAAGTCTGCTAATCGCCGATTTGGGCAGAAATTTGGTCGAACAGTTTCGGGGGGCATTTTCGTAATTTTTCGGCGATATTTTTTTCGAAAGGCCGTTTTGCTTGGATTTTGAAGGCGACGGATCACGAATTCAGGCTGAGGCTATTCTTTAGGGATGGATAAGTCTATTAAACACCGATTCGGGCGGAATATTTCCGGGGCAATTTTTGGCAGTTTCCAAAGGGGTACCATCACCGATTTCGGGCGATTTTTTGGAAATGCCGTTTTCCTTGGATTTTGAAGGCGACGGACCACAGATTCGTCCTTAGGGTACTCTCTACCAATGATGAAGTCTGCTAATCGCCGATTTGGGCAGAAATTTGGTCGAACAGTTTCGGGGGGCATTTTCGTAATTTTTCGGCGATATTTTTTTCGAAAGGCCGTTTTGCTTGGATTTTGAAGGCGACGGATCACGAATTCAGGCTGAGGCTATTCTTTAGGGATGGATAAGTCTATTAAACACCGATTCGGGCGGAATATTTCCGGGGCAATTTTTGGCAGTTTCCAAAGGGGTACCATCACCGATTTCGGGCGATTTTTTGGAAATGCCGTTTTCCTTGGATTTTGAAGGCGACGGACCACAGATTCGTCCTTAGGGTACTCTCTACCAATGATGAAGTCTGCTAATCGCCGATTTGGGCAGAAATTTGGTCGAACAGTTTCGGGGGGCATTTTCGTAATTTTTCGGCGATATTTTTTTCGAAAGGCCGTTTTGCTTGGATTTTGAAGGCGACGGATCACGAATTCAGGCTGAGGCTATTCTTTAGGGATGGATAAGTCTATTAAACACCGATTCGGGCGGAATATTTCCGGGGCAATTTTTGGCAGTTTCCAAAGGGGTACCATCACCGATTTCGGGCGATTTTTTGGAAATGCCGTTTTCCTTGGATTTTGAAGGCGACGGACCACAGATTCGTCCTTAGGGTACTCTCTACCAATGATGAAGTCTGCTAATCGCCGATTTGGGCAGAAATTTGGTCGAACAGTTTCGGGGGGCATTTTCGTAATTTTTCGGCGATATTTTTTTCGAAAGGCCGTTTTGCTTGGATTTTGAAGGCGACGGATCACGAATTCAGGCTGAGGCTATTCTTTAGGGATGGATAAGTCTATTAAACACCGATTCGGGCGGAATATTTCCGGGGCAATTTTTGGCAGTTTCCAAAGGGGTACCATCACCGATTTCGGGCGATTTTTTGGAAATGCCGTTTTCCTTGGATTTTGAAGGCGACGGACCACAGATTCGTCCTTAGGGTACTCTCTACCAATGATGAAGTCTGCTAATCGCCGATTTGGGCAGAAATTTGGTCGAACAGTTTCGGGGGGCATTTTCGTAATTTTTCGGCGATATTTTCGAAAGGCCGTTTTGCTTGGATTTTGAAGGCTACGGATCACGAATTCAGGCTGAGGCTATTCTTTAGGGATGGATAAGTCTATTAAACACCGATTCGGGCGGAATATTTCCGGGGCAATTTTTGGCAGTTTCCAAAGGGGTACCATCACCGATTTCGGGCGATTTTTTGGAAATGCCGTTTTCCTTGGATTTTGAAGGCGACGGACCACAGATTCGTCCTTAGGGTACTCTCTACCAATGATGAAGTCTGCTAATCGCCGATTTGGGCAGAAATTTGGTCGAACAGTTTCGGGGGGCATTTTCGTAATTTTTCGGCGATATTTTTTTCGAAAGGCCGTTTTGCTTGGATTTTGAAGGCGACGGATCACGAATTCAGGCTGAGGCTATTCTTTAGGGATGGATAAGTCTATTAAACACCGATTCGGGCGGAATATTTCCGGGGCAATTTTTGGCAGTTTCCAAAGGGGTACCATCACCGATTTCGGGCGATTTTTTGGAAATGCCGTTTTCCTTGGATTTTGAAGGCGACGGACCACAGATTCGTCCTTAGGGTACTCTCTACCAATGATGAAGTCTGCTAATCGCCGATTTGGGCAGAAATTTGGTCGAACAGTTTCGGGGGGCATTTTCGTAATTTTTCGGCGATATTTTTTTCGAAAGGCCGTTTTGCTTGGATTTTGAAGGCGACGGATCACGAATTCAGGCTGAGGCTATTCTTTAGGGATGGATAAGTCTATTAAACACCGATTCGGGCGGAATATTTCCGGGGCAATTTTTGGCAGTTTCCAAAGGGGTACCATCACCGATTTCGGGCGATTTTTTGGAAATGCCGTTTTCCTTGGATTTTGAAGGCGACGGACCACAGATTCGTCCTTAGGGTACTCTCTACCAATGATGAAGTCTGCTAATCGCCGATTTGGGCAGAAATTTGGTCGAACAGTTTCGGGGGGCATTTTCGTAATTTTTCGGCGATATTTTTTTCGAAAGGCCGTTTTGCTTGGATTTTGAAGGCGACGGATCACGAATTCAGGCTGAGGCTATTCTTTAGGGATGGATAAGTCTATTAAACACCGATTCGGGCGGAATATTTCCGGGGCAATTTTTGGCAGTTTCCAAAGGGGTACCATCACCGATTTCGGGCGATTTTTTGGAAATGCCGTTTTCCTTGGATTTTGAAGGCGACGGACCACAGATTCGTCCTTAGGGTACTCTCTACCAATGATGAAGTCTGCTAATCGCCGATTTGGGCAGAAATTTGGTCGAACAGTTTCGGGGGGCATTTTCGTAATTTTTCGGCGATATTTTTTTCGAAAGGCCGTTTTGCTTGGATTTTGAAGGCGACGGATCACGAATTCAGGCTGAGGCTATTCTTTAGGGATGGATAAGTCTATTAAACACCGATTCGGGCGGAATATTTCCGGGGCAATTTTTGGCAGTTTCCAAAGGGGTACCATCACCGATTTCGGGCGATTTTTTGGAAATGCCGTTTTCCTTGGATTTTGAAGGCGACGGACCACAGATTCGTCCTTAGGGTACTCTCTACCAATGATGAAGTCTGCTAATCGCCGATTTGGGCAGAAATTTGGTCGAACAGTTTCGGGGGGCATTTTCGTAATTTTTCGGCGATATTTTTTTCGAAAGGCCGTTTTGCTTGGATTTTGAAGGCGACGGATCACGAATTCAGGCTGAGGCTATTCTTTAGGGATGGATAAGTCTATTAAACACCGATTCGGGCGGAATATTTCCGGGGCAATTTTTGGCAGTTTCCAAAGGGGTACCATCACCGATTTCGGGCGATTTTTTGGAAATGCCGTTTTCCTTGGATTTTGAAGGCGACGGACCACAGATTCGTCCTTAGGGTACTCTCTACCAATGATGAAGTCTGCTAATCGCCGATTTGGGCAGAAATTTGGTCGAACAGTTTCGGGGGGCATTTTCGTAATTTTTCGGCGATATTTTTTTCGAAAGGCCGTTTTGCTTGGATTTTGAAGGCGACGGATCACGAATTCAGGCTGAGGCTATTCTTTAGGGATGGATAAGTCTATTAAACACCGATTCGGGCGGAATATTTCCGGGGCAATTTTTGGCAGTTTCCAAAGGGGTACCATCACCGATTTCGGGCGATTTTTTGGAAATGCCGTTTTCCTTGGATTTTGAAGGCGACGGACCACAGATTCGTCCTTAGGGTACTCTCTACCAATGATGAAGTCTGCTAATCGCCGATTTGGGCAGAAATTTGGTCGAACAGTTTCGGGGGGCATTTTCGTAATTTTTCGGCGATATTTTTTTCGAAAGGCCGTTTTGCTTGGATTTTGAAGGCGACGGATCACGAATTCAGGCTGAGGCTATTCTTTAGGGATGGATAAGTCTATTAAACACCGATTCGGGCGGAATATTTCCGGGGCAATTTTTGGCAGTTTCCAAAGGGGTACCATCACCGATTTCGGGCGATTTTTTGGAAATGCCGTTTTCCTTGGATTTTGAAGGCGACGGACCACAGATTCGTCCTTAGGGTACTCTCTACCAATGATGAAGTCTGCTAATCGCCGATTTGGGCAGAAATTTGGTCGAACAGTTTCGGGGGGCATTTTCGTAATTTTTCGGCGATATTTTTTTCGAAAGGCCGTTTTGCTTGGATTTTGAAGGCGACGGATCACGAATTCAGGCTGAGGCTATTCTTTAGGGATGGATAAGTCTATTAAACACCGATTCGGGCGGAATATTTCCGGGGCAATTTTTGGCAGTTTCCAAAGGGGTACCATCACCGATTTCGGGCGATTTTTTGGAAATGCCGTTTTCCTTGGATTTTGAAGGCGACGGACCACAGATTCGTCCTTAGGGTACTCTCTACCAATGATGAAGTCTGCTAATCGCCGATTTGGGCAGAAATTTGGTCGAACAGTTTCGGGGGGCATTTTCGTAATTTTTCGGCGATATTTTTTTCGAAAGGCCGTTTTGCTTGGATTTTGAAGGCGACGGATCACGAATTCAGGCTGAGGCTATTCTTTAGGGATGGATAAGTCTATTAAACACCGATTCGGGCGGAATATTTCCGGGGCAATTTTTGGCAGTTTCCAAAGGGGTACCATCACCGATTTCGGGCGATTTTTTGGAAATGCCGTTTTCCTTGGATTTTGAAGGCGACGGACCACAGATTCGTCCTTAGGGTACTCTCTACCAATGATGAAGTCTGCTAATCGCCGATTTGGGCAGAAATTTGGTCGAACAGTTTCGGGGGGCATTTTCGTAATTTTTCGGCGATATTTTTTTCGAAAGGCCGTTTTGCTTGGATTTTGAAGGCGACGGATCACGAATTCAGGCTGAGGCTATTCTTTAGGGATGGATAAGTCTATTAAACACCGATTCGGGCGGAATATTTCCGGGGCAATTTTTGGCAGTTTCCAAAGGGGTACCATCACCGATTTCGGGCGATTTTTTGGAAATGCCGTTTTCCTTGGATTTTGAAGGCGACGGACCACAGATTCGTCCTTAGGGTACTCTCTACCAATGATGAAGTCTGCTAATCGCCGATTTGGGCAGAAATTTGGTCGAACAGTTTCGGGGGGCATTTTCGTAATTTTTCGGCGATATTTTTTTCGAAAGGCCGTTTTGCTTGGATTTTGAAGGCGACGGATCACGAATTCAGGCTGAGGCTATTCTTTAGGGATGGATAAGTCTATTAAACACCGATTCGGGCGGAATATTTCCGGGGCAATTTTTGGCAGTTTCCAAAGGGGTACCATCACCGATTTCGGGCGATTTTTTGGAAATGCCGTTTTCCTTGGATTTTGAAGGCGACGGACCACAGATTCGTCCTTAGGGTACTCTCTACCAATGATGAAGTCTGCTAATCGCCGATTTGGGCAGAAATTTGGTCGAACAGTTTCGGGGGGCATTTTCGTAATTTTTCGGCGATATTTTCGAAAGGCCGTTTTGCTTGGATTTTGAAGGCTACGGATCACGAATTCAGGCTGAGGCTATTCTTTAGGGATGGATAAGTCTATTAAACACCGATTCGGGCGGAATATTTCCGGGGCAATTTTTGGCAGTTTCCAAAGGGGTACCATCACCGATTTCGGGCGATTTTTTGGAAATGCCGTTTTCCTTGGATTTTGAAGGCGACGGACCACAGATTCGTCCTTAGGGTACTCTCTACCAATGATGAAGTCTGCTAATCGCCGATTTGGGCAGAAATTTGGTCGAACAGTTTCGGGGGGCATTTTCGTAATTTTTCGGCGATATTTTTTTCGAAAGGCCGTTTTGCTTGGATTTTGAAGGCGACGGATCACGAATTCAGGCTGAGGCTATTCTTTAGGGATGGATAAGTCTATTAAACACCGATTCGGGCGGAATATTTCCGGGGCAATTTTTGGCAGTTTCCAAAGGGGTACCATCACCGATTTCGGGCGATTTTTTGGAAATGCCGTTTTCCTTGGATTTTGAAGGCGACGGACCACAGATTCGTCCTTAGGGTACTCTCTACCAATGATGAAGTCTGCTAATCGCCGATTTGGGCAGAAATTTGGTCGAACAGTTTCGGGGGGCATTTTCGTAATTTTTCGGCGATATTTTTTTCGAAAGGCCGTTTTGCTTGGATTTTGAAGGCGACGGATCACGAATTCAGGCTGAGGCTATTCTTTAGGGATGGATAAGTCTATTAAACACCGATTCGGGCGGAATATTTCCGGGGCAATTTTTGGCAGTTTCCAAAGGGGTACCATCACCGATTTCGGGCGATTTTTTGGAAATGCCGTTTTCCTTGGATTTTGAAGGCGACGGACCACAGATTCGTCCTTAGGGTACTCTCTACCAATGATGAAGTCTGCTAATCGCCGATTTGGGCAGAAATTTGGTCGAACAGTTTCGGGGGGCATTTTCGTAATTTTTCGGCGATATTTTTTTCGAAAGGCCGTTTTGCTTGGATTTTGAAGGCGACGGATCACGAATTCAGGCTGAGGCTATTCTTTAGGGATGGATAAGTCTATTAAACACCGATTCGGGCGGAATATTTCCGGGGCAATTTTTGGCAGTTTCCAAAGGGGTACCATCACCGATTTCGGGCGATTTTTTGGAAATGCCGTTTTCCTTGGATTTTGAAGGCGACGGACCACAGATTCGTCCTTAGGGTACTCTCTACCAATGATGAAGTCTGCTAATCGCCGATTTGGGCAGAAATTTGGTCGAACAGTTTCGGGGGGCATTTTCGTAATTTTTCGGCGATATTTTCGAAAGGCCGTTTTGCTTGGATTTTGAAGGCTACGGATCACGAATTCAGGCTGAGGCTATTCTTTAGGGATGGATAAGTCTATTAAACACCGATTCGGGCGGAATATTTCCGGGGCAATTTTTGGCAGTTTCCAAAGGGGTACCATCACCGATTTCGGGCGATTTTTTGGAAATGCCGTTTTCCTTGGATTTTGAAGGCGACGGACCACAGATTCGTCCTTAGGGTACTCTCTACCAATGATGAAGTCTGCTAATCGCCGATTTGGGCAGAAATTTGGTCGAACAGTTTCGGGGGGCATTTTCGTAATTTTTCTGCGATATTTTCGAAAGGCCGTTTTGCTTGGATTTTGAAGGCTACGGATCACGAATTCAGGCTGAGGCTATTCTTTAGGTATGGATAAGTCTATTAAACACCGATTCGGGCGGAATATTTCCGGGGCAATTTTTGGCAGTTTCCAAAGGGGTACCATCACCGATTTCGGGCGATTTTTTGGAAATGCCGTTTTCCTTGGATTTTGAAGGCGACGGACCACAGGTTCGTCCTTAGGGTACTCTCTACCAATGATGAAGTCTGCTAATCGCCGATTTGGGCAGAAATTTGGTCGAACAGTTTCGGGGGGCATTTTCGTAATTTTTCGGCGATATTTTCGAAAGGCCGTTTTGCTTGGATTTTGAAGGCTACGGATCACGAATTCAGGCTGAGGCTATTCTTTAGGGATGGATAAGTCTATTAAACACCGATTCGGGCGGAATATTTCCGGGGCAATTTTTGGCAGTTTCCAAAGGGGTACCATCACCGATTTCGGGCGATTTTTTGGAAATGCCGTTTTCCTTGGATTTTGAAGGCGACGGACCACAGATTCGTCCTTAGGGTACTCTCTACCAATGATGAAGTCTGCTAATCGCCGATTTGGGCAGAAATTTGGTCGAACAGTTTCGGGGGGCATTTTCGTAATTTTTCGGCGATATTTTCGAAAGGCCGTTTTGCTTGGATTTTGAAGGCTACGGATCACGAATTCAGGCTGAGGCTATTCTTTAGGGATGGATAAGTCTATTAAACACCGATTCGGGCGGAATATTTCCGGGGCAATTTTTGGCAGTTTCCAAAGGGGTACCATCACCGATTTCGGGCGATTTTTTGGAAATGCCGTTTTCCTTGGATTTTGAAGGCGACGGACCACAGATTCGTCCTTAGGGTACTCTCTACCAATGATGAAGTCTGCTAATCGCCGATTTGGGCAGAAATTTGGTCGAACAGTTTCGGGGGGCATTTTCGTAATTTTTCTGCGATATTTTCGAAAGGCCGTTTTGCTTGGATTTTGAAGGCTACGGATCACGAATTCAGGCTGAGGCTATTCTTTAGGTATGGATAAGTCTATTAAACACCGATTCGGGCGGAATATTTCCGGGGCAATTTTTGGCAGTTTCCAAAGGGGTACCATCACCGATTTCGGGCGATTTTTTGGAAATGCCGTTTTCCTTGGATTTTGAAGGCGACGGACCACAGGTTCGTCCTTAGGGTACTCTCTACCAATGATGAAGTCTGCTAATCGCCGATTTGGGCAGAAATTTGGTCGAACAGTTTCGGGGGGCATTTTCGTAATTTTTCGGCGATATTTTCGAAAGGCCGTTTTGCTTGGATTTTGAAGGCTACGGATCACGAATTCAGGCTGAGGCTATTCTTTAGGGATGGATAAGTCTATTAAACACCGATTCGGGCGGAATATTTCCGGGGCAATTTTTGGCAGTTTCCAAAGGGGTACCATCACCGATTTCGGGCGATTTTTTGGAAATGCCGTTTTCCTTGGATTTTGAAGGCGACGGACCACAGATTCGTCCTTAGGGTACTCTCTACCAATGATGAAGTCTGCTAATCGCCGATTTGGGCAGAAATTTGGTCGAACAGTTTTGGGGGGCATTTTCGTAATTTTTCGGCGATATTTTCGAAAGGCCGTTTTGCTTGGATTTTGAAGGCTACGGATCACGAATTCAGGCTGAGGCTATTCTTTAGGGATGGATAAGTCTATTAAACACCGATTCGGGCGGAATATTTCCGGGGCAATTTTTGGCAGTTTCCAAAGGGGTACCATCACCGATTTCGGGCGATTTTTTGGAAATGCCGTTTTCCTTGGATTTTGAAGGCGACGGACCACAGATTCGTCCTTAGGGTACTCTCTACCAATGATGAAGTCTGCTAATCGCCGATTTGGGCAGAAATTTGGTCGAACAGTTTCGGGGGGCATTTTCGTAATTTTTCGGCGATATTTTCGAAAGGCCGTTTTGCTTGGATTTTGAAGGCTACGGATCACGAATTCAGGCTGAGGCTATTCTTTAGGGATGGATAAGTCTATTAAACACCGATTCGGGCGGAATATTTCCGGGGCAATTTTTGGCAGTTTCCAAAGGGGTATGACTCGATTCTACTGTCACCCTAGGAATTGGCCAAGTGCAACCACTCCCTAAAGCGTAGTATAGCGGGTTTAGGTTTATATGTCAACCCGGGTCCTAGATTTGCTGACTACTCAGTGAGTTCGTGTTATCTAGCAATGAAACTGGGATGCAAGTCTAAACTATCAAACTAACAAAGCAAGTAAACTGTTGTATTCAGGTTAAAGAGGTCACCCGGATATGGTTCCCCCTAGACTGCAGTTAAGCCGGATTGTAATTACCAAGTTCAGTTTCTATGACAGTTATACTGCGGAAGGTTCTCAAACAGCCTGAAGTCTCGACTAAAGGTCTTCAGACCCTCTCAATCTGACTCTCTAGCGGGCGACTAACCTCCACCGGAGTCGACAGATTGAGGCCCTAAGAACAAAACCTCCACTACCGGAGTAAATCCGGTACAGAATAGTGAGTTGGCTCCTCGACTAAAGTCACCAACTCCCTACCTTCAATCAAGGATACTCTATTAACCTAGGCAGATATTCTCATTCTAGGTTAAAGCAGAAACAACAGGAATTTGATCAGGATTCAAGTCATTCAATCATTAAAACCTCAATCGAATATAATCAATCACAAAATCAGTACTTGGGTTCATACAATCAAAGCCTAACATACAAATCTAGGGTTCTCCATACCCAGATGAATGGGAGAACTACT